AGCTGGAAAATAAGTTTAAACTTTATAACTGTAATAAAAGTTGTCATGAAATGCTTTTCGTTGGACAAACGATGATGTTTTATTACTGTTAATTGATTATCGGCACACCTGCTGAATCACGTGACAATATGCTGTGTTCTTGAGAAGCCAAACTGGTTGAAGTAATCTTTCATGGAGTTAAATCGTAAAGGAAACTCCACTTCTCCCGAACCAAGTAAGTTCTGCCTTAACTGATGTTGTTTATATCAAACTTTATTCACCGTAGAAAGATAATTTCAGCTTTGTTGTAAGCTATCTTCGGGATGAAGGTGACAATTCCATATCTTAATACGATTACCCTCGGCAAGTCTCGATCAGGTCTTCCATTTTGGGGAATTTCCGAAAACCAGCGTGATTTTATAAGTTGCGGCAGCGTTCTGACCGTTTTCCTTGTCGAATGCTCCTCGGAAAAAAGGGTTAATTTATCTCTTACTTTTCCCGTGGAGTCTCAAGATCATGTTTTGTCCGGAGCCTTTTTTGCTATTATTTTATACACAACATCTGCAAGGTGGTTAGAATCTGATAATGTAGTGCTATCTACAGAGAAATTGTACTGAGAGACTATAAAATGCACAAACGTAAAATTTGACATTTCTCGGTGAGTTGTTAATGATATATAGCGGCCCACTCGCCATGTAATTTAAAATGCGCATTTTGTTCGACGTACACTCTTAATGAAATCAATATTACTTTTAAGAAAAAAGTCGAAGATGGTGAATTTGAAGACTAAGAGGTTTTAGTGGCTTTAGCGAAACTCTTGATGTATGCTTTCGAGTTCAAAGAAACGTAAATAATTCACAACTTAAAACAGCACAACACGTAGCTTTTTCTGAAACTGATTAAATGTCATCCCGGCGCGTCGATCGAGAAGCACCGAAATACGTTCGCTGCGAAAAGAAAAAGATGCATTTCAGTATGAAGAAAGAAATCTTCGTTTGTCATATAAGTTTGCATTTGAGATTAGAATATATTACTTTGAAGTTCCAATTCACGGTTATAGTTTTTAAATTTCTCGCCCACAGAAATCAATTTTTAATCAGGACTTTTAGCAAAGTAAATATGCAAATTCACGCAATCCCGTGTGGAGACAAATTATTATATCCAGTTTAATATGATAGGCAAGCTTGTCAAAACAGTCTCAAAAAGCGATCCGCATAACACTTGCACTTGAAATTAACGAGCTAACTTACGAAATGTTTAATTAACCCGGCTGAATCTTCTGGAAAGATTTTCATGAGGTTTTCTGCTGACCAGTAGAAGTAAATATTTAAGTGCCATGTTTAATATTAATACTGTTGATAGTTAAAGTTAGGAAGTGCGTTCGAGTGTTCTTAGCTTTGCCGACCAATACGGTATTATTTCAAATTTAAGGAAAGGTTATGAAAACATGTAAATTTTAAAGAGGTATTTAAAATTTTATGCCCTATCTATGCATAGTGGTAAATAGGAGAACGCTTTCAAAAAATGTACCAACAGATGCGTGAGGGCATATGGCAAACTTCATATTTTTAACTGTCTATAAGTAAACAGACCATGTACTTATATATAATCCTAACCATATGCTCGGTTGTCATGTTTTTCATTTCTAAAATCATTAAAATAATAATAAGTGTTGTTGTTTTGATGTAGTGAACAATAATGGTATATGTATATTCATAACTGCCGTTGCTGTTCACCCATTGTTGTATTAGTATATTCTCAACATGACTGTCACCAACAAAGTTGCACTGTCCTGCAAATACAATGGCCAGTAATATAGTTGTGGACCATTAAAGTATTATTTCTTAACATCTATCAATGTTTGAGTAACACTGGTTTTGCTGTACCTACATACATCCTAGTAAAATACTGTACTTACAGTGGTGAGTGTTTGACCAACATTGTTTGACCTTTAGTGTGCTTATATTGACAACTTGACTAGGAGCAGATAACATTTCTTCAATGACATCATTCTTTGAGTGTGACTGTCACCAAAATTTAGTTCTAACCACCTATGTTGTCAAGCTTTGAAGTGACAAAAACCGAATTTACAGACCGAATTTGACTCTAATCAGTCCTGTGACCATCACTTATAGGTAATTAATGGATGCAACCTTCTAATATATATCTCCATGAAGAGAGACAGGTGTATGTAATAATTCTGAACTTACAGCTACCATAGTGATTCATTTACCTGTTGTTGTACTTACAGTGACATGTATTGTCTGTTTCAGGGGCAGGTGTTGATGACAATGGTAATTAAGTGTAATCACTAATGTAATGAAACGTAGCGAGAACATCTCACAGTTCAGGGCGAGGTCTTCTTTTCTGCCTAAAATAATGAAATCATCAATGCGGGGTCTTCTGCTTTGTATGTAGCAGACTGCATGGTCATGCAGCTTTGTGCACTGTATTAAACCTCTTAGTTCAATAAATAATTTCATATTGCAGCTAATCAATACTCTTGGTTTAATTTTTTTGGAAGTGGCTCGGTTTACAATGTACACTAGAGCTTAACACCTGGAATGAATTTAAATTGAGTTATCTGGTAATTTAAGGCATTTGCTTGGGACGTTTGTTACAATATAGGTTGCTGGTATTAACATCAAGCTAAACTAACAGTGTGTTGTAGTTCATCGTAAGCAACACTGTAGTCACTAACAGTAAAGATTGCTCATACTAGGGAATACTACAAGGCGCATATATAACCATATTCCTTAAAAAACTTTGTTGTAGCCCAGATGAATATTTTTTTCTGGTATATTTATAAACAGCGTGATTGAAACTGACCGTGTTTCTAAAAATTAAACTGATCAGGCTAAGTCCAACTTGGATAACAGATGAAGAACGATAAAATTAATTGTGGTGACTTTAAACTCATGATAGTACTCTTGTGCAAAGGTAGAGTACATTTAAAAATTGCATAGCTTTACATTTGTGGGACTGAGAAAGACTGTAAACAAATGAGGTTACTGGGTATATACTTTTATTGTTTGAAAATTGAATTTCAGCCATTGATGCAGATATTCCATGCATAAGTTTTGTGATCAACCGCTTTAATAATATATTTTTGTGTTATCTTAATACAACAGGAGGGGAGTCAGGTGACAGCCGTGGGATATGTGACTATCTGCTGACTTTCATCTCCATCTTGTTTATTATCTGTACTTTTCCAATTGCCATCTGCTTTAGCATTAAGGTAGGTTAATGAAAAAATGTCTTGGTTTGTTAGTAGTAGTTAAGTTTTCTTTAATGATAGTTGTTGCTTGTCATGAGTTTGTCTTCAAACATTATCATAGAAACATTTTAGTTTAAGTGACATTTGGTAAGCGAAAAGCTTTGGAAGAACTAGCATACTACTTTTTGAAGACCAAAACAATTTAGCGCCATTACCTCTGCCACAATTTTTTTCCACACTTACCGGTCCCTGTAATCAGCTATACATGGTGCACAGACTAAGTTCTTGTGCAATTCAAACCACCACCTACTTTCATAGTCTTGACTTTCACTAGCAAATGTTATAATTTTATTGTGAGGAAATTAAATGCCCCAGGAAACTGACACAGATTTTGAAAGATTGTGTTTCATGTCATAGAGTTACACTTGGTGACAGTTTTTATCACTCTCTGTTGACCAACCATGGTAAATGATGAGTTGTTTTTTCAATAGACATCATAGTGGCATTCTTTTTTTTCCCTTTGAAAAATGATTTGAATACTATATATAGTGGCTTCTTATATTTTTTTAGCAACTGTGGTTTTTATTTATTTAAAATTCTGATCTTTTGTGATACTTAAACAGATTGTGCAGGAATATGAGAGAGCAGTTATTTTCCGTCTTGGTCGGCTACTCCCTGGAGGAGCAAGAGGACCAGGTAAAATCAAAATGAAACTGATTATGTTAGCAGGCTATGATTATAACATGGTTAATATGAATTTGGAACTGTGAGAGTAACAATGACAATAATCCTAAAATTCAACACTAAGAAATGGATAGACTACCAAATCACTGAACAAAGGGACAAGAAGACAGCAAAGTAGACATGAAATGCCATTTTTTTACCCTATATATAGTACCAGCTAGCATGCACACTGGTGGTACACAGTTGAGCCTAGTAAGCCTTCTATATGCACTAAAACTAGTAATACAGGCTTGTCAATCCATGCTTCCCTGAGGAAGGTTATATTATCAGGTTGGTAAGCCTTCCTACCAGTATCACTGGGTAACATGGAAAATTAGAATCCTTCACGGAGGTCATGATCAAAAACTAGTAATTATTAAGCTGGGTAAGCCTGGTTCTTTGTTTCATGTGTTTGCATGGGTTAAGTGGCTGAACAAAACCACTCAGTCATTGGAAAATGAGAATGTGGCTCATGAACTCATTTAGGGGTGTAAATTGCAGATTTTAGTCTCACTCAGGGTGTTAGGGCAAAAAAAATTATTTTAACCTACACGGGTAGGGTTGGCGTTGCATGTCAAGAAATATCTAATATAATAAAACAAAATGCCACCAAACTCTGTTGAAGACAGCATTTGATGTTAAGAATTATGGAGATTATGATCACTATTAATAGTTTCTATTTGGTTGCTTTCCTTACTACAGTCCCCCTTAGGGCTCAAATGTCAAATCAAGCTTGAGCTATGCCCAGATTGGTCTCCTTAGGGGTTGAACCCTACCCTACCCTAATTTCCGTGACCCCTTCATAGTTAAATGGGATTCTATCTCCTTGGGGTTGGGGTACTACTTCTAACAATAATAATTATTAATTATTAATAATTAATTAATTAATTTATTTTTTAATTATTATTAGAAATAATTTGGTTGCAAAAGTTCTTCCCAAGGTAACTAATGTTTCAGGGAAATGCTTTATAGGTGTCAAACTGAGCAAAGTGTTCTGTGTAGAACTACATGTAATGTAACTATATTTAATGCAATCTTTATTTATCCCATATTAATCAAGTTTTGCGGGTTTCTTTTAGGGATGTTCTTCATTATACCCTGTATTGATTCTTACCAGAAAGTTGATTTGCGAGTGGTGTCATTTGATGTACCCCCACAAGAGGTAACAAGAATATAAGTGCAACTAATATGTTATTATAATAATGTAGTTAACCATTTGAAATGAAGCTTATGTTCAAGCACTTGGCAACCTGCTCCCATTGCTGTAGTGATACCCTGGGAACTGAAAAGTGCTATCCATAATAGGGAGTGTCTGTAAAAGACAGTGTAAGACTTGGGATAAGAAATTTTCTTCAAAACATTTGCCTCAGATGGGTATAAACATGCATTGATTTTTACAGTGACGTTAGTACCAGTTTAGAGCATTGAACGTCACAAATCGACAACAATTTTCGCTGGTCTATATTCTCATCGTCCAAAGAAATGACATTAAAAAAAAAATTTCAAAACTCAAATGGAACCACAAGCCACAGGTGAGTGGCTTCACTGCAAAGTGTAGAATTGGTGGCCATTAATATTATTGTTTTTTACAATAACATTTGCTTTTTTCACCTCCATTTTAATCATTTTCACAATAATATTGAGGAGTTTGTTTAAATCAAACATATGTACTTTAATAGTAGCTGTTGTCAATATTAAGAGAAAGTTCATAATAGGAAGGTGTCCTCAAAGCGAGAGTTAAGTGGTAAATAAGGGATTGCAACCCCCAGGGGAGTACTCCATATAATAGCCTGTACAGGGAGGCCCCACCCAAAAGGTGTACCTGTTTAAGGCTTCAGGTATAAATCATGAAAGGGTAGGGAAAACTATTATTTTGGGCTTTCAGAAGCCGATTATCAGCTTGGGGCTCTTTAAAAGGCCCAAAAGGGCTAACAGTAGTATCATGTGATGTATAGTTATTTATTATAAAATTATGGAGGAGAGTGTTTTACATTATTTAAACCAGTCTAAAGGGATGAAAAATTCATCCGGGAAACAAGGTATTGGAAAGAGGTCACCATTTGTCAATATCATTCAATGATGTCACGATTCCGCCTTTTGCTTTTGTTGAATTGGTTTCTCCATATAATAAAGGGTAAGGGTGGCTCACCGTGAGATATTGTTCTTGTCAACATAAAATTCATGTAATATCCTCAAAATTCTTAATTGTTTTATCTTTTCGTTTTGGAGGGCAGTTTTTATATGGGAATTCAGTTTCCCCCTATTGCTTTCCTTTACCTATTGTACTTTTATACATGTATATACATTTTTATTTTGTACATTGGTAAAAAGAATTATTAAACTTAAACTTAAACTTAAACTAAAACAGAGTAAGGGGTAGGACCTTGGGGTGGAGCCTTCCTGTATAAAACTGTGAGGGGTACCCCACCCCACCCCACTCCATGGGGTTGCACCCTCAGAAACAGGACTGAAACCCGTCTCAGAGACTTAAGTTATTAATGCTGCTCCCTGCTCGTGCTACAGCCTATTTTATTACTTTTGTTACCAAATGAAAAGTCCTTCTTACGGCCTCTGTTGTGTAATTCATCCACAGGTTTTGACAAAAGACAGTGTGACTGTTGCAGTAGATGCAGTGGTGTACTTCAGAATATATAATGCCACCATGTCAATCACAAATGTGGAGAATGCAAATCGCTCCACTCGTCTCTTGGCACAAACCACCCTGAGAAATGTTTTGGGAACCAAAAACTTAAGTGAGATCTTGGGAGATAGAGAAACCATAAGTGAGACAATGCAGGTACATAAGTTATCTCTATACCATTTTTCAAATTTCAATCAAGTAAAAGGGTTTACCTTAGTGAAAGAACCTGTGACCTGAACTTTGTTTTGCGCCTTTTATTTCCCTAGGTTCTGTTGTGTTGACTTCTTTGTTTCAATCATTTGTTTACGTCACCCATGAGTTTTACTTGCTCTCACACTTAGGATTACAACAGCAACAACCACAATCTTTTATTCCCTATCAACGCATCTACAGTTTCTCTTCATTTAAAAAAAGAAAAACAGTATAAAGCCGTAATGAGGGAAATTACGAGCTAATTTCTTACATGAGGATATGAAAGTAGCAACTTGACAGGACCTAAAAGACAAATGCCAAATTAACGCTTGATGAAATTAACGCGAACGTTTCCAGTAATTAACTTGACTTAAATTGACACGAAGTCGCGTTAATTATGGGAAACGTTAATTTCCACACCGTTAGTTAAGAAGAGCGTTAATTTCCGCGACCTTTTTTCTATCATTTGGACCCCAAATTCTCGATACACTTCTCACATTCTTGATACTTGAGAAAGAGGAGCTTTTTATCAGGGTGGAGATCCGCCAGTAACAGTGAAACTGTGAAGAACCCTCGAAATGGCCAGATTTCTTAGCTTGACCCCCTTCGAACATTTAGGGAAAGAACCACGAACAAAGTTTCCATTTCGGATATACGTTCCTGTTGTCTCGACAAGTGTGAGAATTTCCTTTCTTAGCTCTTTCTTACCTCTTTTACAAGCTCAACAAACTAGAAAACCTAGTTTGAAATTTTACCCTCTCTTTCGCGTTAAATTCCCTCATTTCATGGAGCGTTAATTTGCTATAATAAGGTATAAATGAACGGTATAGTGTTATCCATCTTGACAAGATGGCATGAAGGCATAAGTAGTGTCAGACTTATACAATACAAATACCCACCAAACCTGTGCACAATTATTTACAGACATCACTGGATGAAGCTACTGATTCTTGGGGAGTGAAGGTCGAACGTGTAGAAGTGTAAGTTTATATATTAGTAGAAATAGTTTTAGTTTTGATTTCCACTGCAACTATAGCCTGTTCCAGGCTCCGAGATAATAGTGAAAAGTCGTTCAGTGAAAAGAAATGCGAAAAACGCGCGGGGGTGTCGCCTTTTCTCGCGTGGGGTGATTTTTACGCGCGCTCGCGTTTCGCTCGCTCTGCTATCCTTGAGGAAAAATGGGGGACTACTTGTAGTCTATATACTATCTGAGAGCCTGGCACAGGCTACTGCAACTAAAGTAACTCCCTAATCTGAGTAGCTACTAGCAGCTCTCATTATAGCATTAATGGGACAATACATGTAATCCTGTCTGCTGTAGTACTTCTTTTTTTCCCACTTGTAGGCAAAACAAAGATAAAGATTACGATAAATTATACTGTCAAATTAAATTAAATTAAGCAATTAAACGTTGTAGGCCTTTTGTTAATCGAAACACGCTGGAGTCCGTTTTCAATGCCTTAGTTCAACCGTACTTTAATTACTGCAGCGAGGTCTGGGGGCATTGTAACAAAAGTCTTTCGAATAAGCTCCAAAAGTTGCAAAACCGGGCTGCCCGTATTCTAACCTTCTCCAGTTATGACACAAGCGCTGATCCTCTTCTTGAGCAACTCAACTGGAAACGGTTGGATACTCAGCGACAAATACAAGTGGCCACCATGGTCTATAAATCTATACATGGTCTTGCGCCCGACTATCTTGGTTCTCTTTTCACTAAATATAATCCACCTTATAATTTAAGGAACTCTGAAAACAAACTAGCTGTTCCATTGCCCCGCACCAATTTCTTGAAAAATAGCTTTAGCTATAATGGTGCGGTTATCTGGAACAGCTTGTCCCCTGAATTGCGGCAAGCAAAATCACTTAAATCTTTTCGAAATGGTTGTCGCGATTTCTTTGACTGAATCGATAAAACGCACACGGCATCTATGTAAAGCAGAATTTCTTTATTTTCTCTATTTTTACTATTTAAATTTTTAGATCATGTTTATATAGATTAAAGTAGATTGTAATTTTTTTTCATTATTTTTATTTTATCTGATAGATTTACCGTGTTTAAATAAAAAGAAAGTTCAAGTTCAAGTTCAAATTTTATTTTAGTCATTTATTAACTTGCAAAATCTATTGACATAGTCCCAAGCTCCGACAACCAATAACAGAACTTTGTGTTCTTCAATTCAGTCTAAAACAATAGTTGCAGCTTTTACACTTTATACAATGCAAGTTTTTAAGAGAACTCTTATTCAAATGATGTTCTTTGTTTTGTGTTTAGGAAGGATGTTCGTCTTCCTCAACAGCTGCAGCGAGCCATGGCAGCTGAAGCGGAAGCATCCCGAGAGGCTCGTGCAAAGGTGCTATAATTATTCTCAGTTACTTTGTCTTCAAAGATATTTTGAGGTGTTTGAATGAGTTTCCCAACATAAACCTTTGAATTCCTGTTTAATACGGCTTGATCAACTTTAAACGGCGTTTGCCGGCGTAAGTTCCATGGAAAAGGCTGTAAATGAAGTCGCAGTATTGTAAGCCGAAGTCCTATTTACTATCCTTTCTTTTTTTCTTCGTCGTCGTTTTGTTTTCTTCTTATTTAAAATAAACATATTTTCTTTTCCCTGTTGGCTTCTTTCCCTTTCTTTCTACTTCTGGCCCGAGTCTGCTTTGCGAGGCTCTGCAATTCACGTATTTTTAGTTGTTCTCAATTATTTTGTCTTCAAAGATATTGTGATGTGTTTAAACGAGTTTGGTACATAAAAAGGGCCTTTCCCAGTTCTTTGTGTGAACTATAGAAGTTTGTTGAAATAATTATAGGCGTAGAAGGCAGAGACGAAAATAGTTTTTCTTTCTTAACGGGAATTTGTCCAGCTAAGTCACCATTCAGATTGGATAACACTTGGTGCTCATATGATCGTAGAACGTGTCCGTTTTGTTTTGTTTTCTTTTTTGTCCGTAATTAGCCCGCTTCATGTAGCTGAAAGTTTGTTTTGCTAGCGCCAAATGAGCGGCAGAGCTGTGAAAGTGCGCGCAAACGAACAGCGAAGTTTCCGCGTTTTTTTCCTCGTAGCTTCGCCGCTTGCCATTGCCACCAGCTACCCAGGCTAGTACTTCATGATCAATCAGTCGTATTGCTCCTCCCAGCTACAAGCTTACGCTCTTAACTATTTCGTCCATTCGCACGTTTGCTGTCTTAACGCTTATGAAAGAAACTGAAACTGAGATTTCCCACTGAATTCAAGCCAGGTTCTTTTTTACCCGATGAGCTTGTTCGTTCTAATGCGAAGATCATCATTATGTTTCATCTGTTACAGGTCATTGCTGCTGAGGGAGAAATGAATGCATCTCGTGCCTTGAAAGAAGCCGCTGACATTATTTCAGAGTCGCCTTCTGCCCTTCAGCTGCGATACTTGCAGACGTTGACTACCATCTCAGCTGAGAAGAATTCAACCATCATTTTCCCCCTTCCCGTGAACTTTTTGTCCCGATTTCTCCCAAGTGAAAGTAAATGACTCGACTGGCGTTATAAAGACAGGGATGTCGAGTCTTCAGTGATTCACCTTTGACGATATCCTGCGAGAAGTCTCTCTTTTTTTTTCAGATTTAGTGAGGGGAGTGCGCGCGTAAGCGTCGAGCGGTGAAGCGGTGAAAAGACGCGAGAAACGACACGCGCGTGGTCATTTTCGCGTCTTTCGCGTTTCGCTCGGCGGACTAAGATAGAAGAGAGACTGCTCGTAGTCTACTTTGACGATAGTTAGTGTTTTTAGACCCTTTCAAACCCAAAAGAAAAGAAAAAAGAAGCATCACATTTTTCTTTGGTAAAATATTGGAAACAAAATAGTTCCGTATGAAACTGATGTTGAATAAGTTCCATTTTAATGGACACGCCCTAAGACTTAACCAGACTCAATTGCCATGGAAAATGACTGTAGAGTAGCAATTTAGCCCTATACATAAAAGGTTTCTTTTGTCTCTAGAAGCTCGAATCAACTATTATTGAACCATTTGTGTACGTTTTTTTCCTTAAATTCAAAGGACAGAGCTAGAATTTCCTCAACTTTAGAATCGACGAGTGAAAGAGTCTACTACAGCTTATCAATTATGCATTCTTTTGCAACTAAAATTCAAAGGTTTTATAGTTTTAGTTTTGATCAAGAATATTGAAATAGAATGTCAAAGATGTATCATCAGGAGCCCTATTTGGACCTGTTACAGGTTTGAATAGAAGATATGTTCGTTAAACTTGTTGCACTCAAGGAAAAAGCTTATTGATGATGTATTGCTTTGCAACTAAGCTTCAGATCTAATCAAGTGGGTAAAATATCAAAAGCTGAACATGATTTCATTATGATTCAAAGCAAGACTAAATGGTGGCCAGCACTCGCGTAGGTTGCAAGCTTGCTTATCATTCAATGTTAATTTAGAACCCAAACTTAGAGATTCGCTGTCATAGGTTAACAAGTAGAGTAGAATGTAAAAATTATATAGACCTGTCCACTAAGTTATAAGAAAACTATTATTATTTAGTCGCGAGTTTCACTAGCAGGTTAATTGTAATCTCAGCAGTATTTCAACTATTTCTCGTAGCTTCAACGTGTAGCTATGCTTCGGCTTATGAAGTGCAAACCGTGGTTTGTAGTCCTACCCCTTCATTAGCCATGCTACGGTTGTCCAAAGTGTTTCAAGTTGAAGAAAAGTAGTTTTATTTATGAACAGCGTGGTTCCACTGCACCCGGGGCTGTCATGGAGAAAATCTTTGAATAACAAGTCCATATAACCCGACCCGAGAATAAAGTGTGCGGCTTCTCTTAACGAGATTCAAATTTACATTGCACTGGGGTGGAATGGTAATACTTGTACATTATGTTAATGTAAGCAGTGTATAGAAAAATAAAACCTTTTTGTTGTTTTGCTCTCTTTCATCTTCGAGTAAAATTCAGTGCAATTGTTGTTTAATATTCTTGGTGAGTAACGTTTCTCACACCTCAAACTCTAAATTCTAACTCAACCTTTTTTGTGAACTCTGCCAAGTAATCACAAAGTGTCCGGTAACCAAAAAGTAATAATAACAATAATAAACGCTACAATGACAGATTTTTTACCACCAAATTTTCTGGATATCTTAACAGAAACAAAGATTAAACACGTGGGGTAAAATGACTTTGACCAAATATTAAGTACACTATGCAGCAACTGAATTTTGCGCTTTGGTGTGCGACACGATCGTTACTCCAAAAAGTTAGGGATAGCGATTTTTGTTTTCACTACTAGATCCCTACTTTTCTCGGGCTTTATCCTTTTTTAAAGCAAAGTGTATTCTCTTCGAGGTGGTTGGAACACACAGCGAGAGGTTTTAAGTATAGAGTTTTGACTAGAAACATTTGATGTTTTAAAAAGGGTGTCTCTTGCGGGAGTTGGTGCCCTTCGAGAGGTCGTCGCACACGGAGGTTTGACCGTACATTTGTCAGATTTCATCGATCACAGTCAGCCCAGAATCTATGGTAGAAGAAATTAGTTTCAAAGGCAACTGCTGCTGCGTTGGTTAGCGAAGTGAAACGCAAAACTTTGGTTTTATCAATCAAGTTGAGATAAATTCCCTTCGAGTTGCCCGCCCTTCGCCCATACGACCATTCGAAACATGAACTTTCAATTTCGTCTTGTTACTGCTTGTTACGGTGTTGATAAGCTAAATTTTGTCATTGTGTCAGACTCTATGGAGAACGCATAGGATAAACACCTGGATGGCAAAATACGCCCTAGATCTGCCAAACGTGGAAATGAAAATGCCTTATCTTGTCTGTTCCAGAGTGCCCCCGGTCTGTTTTGTGACTTGTTTTGTCTTTTCGTTTCTTAGACCGCGAGCGGTCCTCCTTTTCCCCTCAGAGCCAGGTGCGGGGAGGGAAAAAGTAAAATTATGCAAATTATCGAAAATTAATGGTCAAAAGGAGGAGAGATTGAGGCGAAGAAAGGGAAAGATTTAAGGACAACTGCGGAGGTGTCGTACCTTCCCCTCTCAAGCGTTCTGTGTCGCGCCACGCAAAAGAAAAAAGAGACTGAACGCATTCGATTAGTTCCCAGGACCGTTTGGCATGAAAGCCACTTTGGATCTAAAGCTAGCTTAATAAACGCCTTTTAAAGTTTTTCAGAAATTCTTTATGATAAAACAGCTCTTCAAACAAATCAGTAGAAAAATTCATTTGACCATGCAGTTACAATGCTTAGCGTGTCGCTTATAGTCTGACCATTACTGAAATTAATTTAAAAATTGCCAACCTATGACGTTCCTCCTTCAAGTATTATTTGGTTTTCTATTGGTTTTCTCATTATGATAAAATTTAAATTACCAGTTCACAGGAGCCCGTCATTTGCAAATTGGAAGGCGTTTATTTTAGTTTTAAAATTATACTCAGGTTCCAGTGAAATCATTTAGTCTTAATACTCTCTTGTTTTTAACAGGATCGAGTGCTTGCAAATCAATCTGTTTTTATCATTCAATCGTGAAGACATTTATGATACAGATACGAAAATTTTGTGCGACAGCGGTAAAACTGTTTAAAAAAAAGCTGAAAGCGTTTAAAAATTGGACAGATGGTTGACAATGTGTACTTTCCCCTCCCTTGAAAGGAACGCGTGTGGCCTTTTAGCGCGGCCAAGGACCGAAACTCAGTGACACGCATAATTGGAGACGAAAATTCAGTCTTCTTCTTCTTTGTGTTTCACACTGGCGGACTTCAAGCAACTTTCCCACAATTCTGAACCTGGTAGTGGGCAAATGGATCGTGAAGGTGGGTGAAATATGGTTGAATGGTATCCTAAAATAATGCTGGCGAGGCCTGATTTCCTGATATACACCACTCGTCCAAAAAGAATCGAAAACGAACAAGCTTGGCTTCCGTGCATGCATGTATCTTCATAGCTCAATTTTTTCTAAAAGCTTATATGGCTTATATAGTGGGAATTATTTGTACTTACGTATATTTTAAGTAAGTTTGTTGTGCACTGTGATGGTAGAAAGCAAGGCGGTATGAATTTAGGAGTAACATTTTGCCACTTGCAGCATCGGCGTGAAATTCAGAGTGTGAGGTGAAGACGATAAAGAGACGATAAAGCTTATGTTTACCATCGACATGACGATTACGTTTTATGGTTGTATAAAGATTTATTACTTGCTTACCAATTGCCAGCTGATAGTAGCACTTTGGAAGCGAATTTTGTTTTCCAAGAGCTCTGTTTATTTTGATGAAGAAGCTTCCCTTCCAAAATTAAATGCACGCTTCAAATCCATCAGCTTAAATTTGTTGTGGGACAAAATTGAGTAATTTATATGTTGCTAAGGTTTATCATAATACTCTAATCCAGACTTTTCGTGAAAGCTACCTTTTAAATACGGTGAAAAGTTAAACTACATGTACAAATACAATCTTTTTAGATCATAGAAACTTTTGTTTATCACAGCTCGCAAGAGGCTTTTTGGGGGAGTTGTCTTTTCAGTTTTGAATATTAATGTTAGATACGTTAATTTTTTTTCAAAAGAAGACATTATGGGAAAACATTATTATCATAAATAACGAAAGCTAGCAGCTTATATTCTCGTGTATATGTTGTAAATTTTCATTATAAAGAGCTATTTTTCTTAATTAGATAATCTTTTTTTTACCAAGAAATTTTTCATTTGGTGTGTCTGTAGCTACAGTCAACTGTCTTAAGAGAAACTTTATTTATTTTAATTTTATTTTATTATTTTTATTAAATTATTTTCCCGTCCATTCCTCCTCATTTATATCTGTCTGATATACTAAAATGTGGCTAAAGAAATATCAAGTGCAATGAAAAAAAAGTGCTCCACCACAAGACTCGGTAAAGGTATATGAGAGAATTTCTGTGGCCATGTTTTAGCAAATCCAGTCAGATATATATTACTGCGTATCCCTCTCATTTCTAAGCCATCTTGTCTTTGCATTTCCCCAATACAAAATAACACACTAAAACAAAGAAGAATAGTTTATTGATACTGTTACCTTAACAGAGGTTTTAACTTACACAGCACTGTTAAAATGACCTGGCAGCTGGCAAATTTGCGGCTTTCCGTGGAATATTTGCTGCCTACTCTACATTTAGGTTTAGTAATGTTAAATAAAAACTTTACACAAATTTAAGCCTTTGTCACCTTCTACTCTGGTTATCCTTCCTGCTATTTTTAAACGTTTTGATCGAGCTGCTAGTCACATGCTTTTGGTTCATAGTCCATGATTTCCACTAGACCATACAATACAAGGTGTAAATTCCCTGATTTTACTTTTGATTTTATTGTTATTCCTTTTACAATCCCAGGCTAACCCAGGTAAGGTGGCTCAATACAGTTAATTTTTCAGGGTCAATATCCTCCAAGTTTGAGCATAGACTACGTCTCCATAAACAAAGAGTTAGAAAAATTGCCACCACAGTTGTATTAGATAAAGATGAAAATTTGTTATGATTAGGGTTGTAATGACATTGGAGTTGTCGTAGCAACGAAACGATGCCATTACCTATTTCACTTGCGGCAATATTTTGTGGCACTGGGAACTGTTCTTCCAAAATCGTGTATGGGACCTTTTTCCTCCAGTTTTCTTCTTTATCTAATACAATTGTGGTGGTAATTTTTCCAAAACTTTGTTTATGGTGACATAATTTATGCTCAAACTTGGGAGGTATTGACCCTGAAAACTGTATAGAGCCACCCTAATACAGTGTACCCGGTTAAAAATTCACTGTAAATATTTCTGAGTTAAAAAGATTTTTCCAGTTAAAATTTAAATTTAACTGGACAAAAATTAACTGTGCCATGCAATATTTTAAAAAAACATTCTTTTGATTTATTGTTTTTGCTATCCTTGGTGTTGAAGAGAGTTTTGTCTTAAAATTTGATTAGCAATTTTCAGTTAGTGAAGATGTAAACATCGACCTACGAGGCAGCAACCAGGATTAAAAGTTACTTGCCTCCTTGCAACCTTTTTTGGGGGTGATTGGCAAAATTTTGCCTAATAAAATTCTTGTTTAGACTTTAATTTGTGCAAGTGATGTGCGGACACATGCACAATAAAGTGATATGTATGTTTATTTTTTTACTTTAGAAGACTCAGGTGAAAGCAGAGGGGTGTGTGACTATGTATTGACCTTTCTGTCTGTTCTCCTGATTATCTGTACTATCCCATTCTCATTGTTCTTCACATTCAAGGTGAGACATTAATGGAAGCTATAGAGTGTAAAACATTACTGTGAAACTCAGAAAATTGTAAACATATGAAGCATTTCTGGAGTGCTTATTGTGTTATGAGCATGCAGTCACAACAAAGAACAGAACATGCCAGCAAACCGCAAGCTTATTAAATAACTGTTGCTACTTGCTGTTTAGTCTTCTTTTACCTGATTGGCTTTGTCATTGTAACACAGTAACATTCCAGAAATATTCCTTGTGTTCATGTTTTCCTGAGTTTCACAGGAAATAAGTTAGTTTTGTTATAATATTATACACAGATTTTGCTTCAACTTCATGAACATTGAGGCAGCTATTGGAGGAAAAAGCTCCCATGAATGCTTTTGGAAGAACAGTTCCCAGTGCTGAGAAATACTGCTGCAAGTTAAATAGATAATGGCATCATTTTGTTGCTATGACAACTTCGATGTCATGGCAAACCTGATCATAACACATTTTCATCTTTATCTAATGCAATATTGTGGTGGCAATTTCTCCAAATCTTTGTTTATGGCGATGTAGTTTATGCTCAACACGGGAGGTATTGACCCTGAAAAACTGTATCGAGCCACCTTAAGGCTATACCAAACTGACCCAAAGTTTAGTTTGATGATTGAAAAAAGCCTGCAACGACTATAAAATCCAACAGCTCAAAACACTATTTAGTATTACTGGTATTAATAGGAACTGACTGCTGCTAACATTGGTTATTCAAAGATTTTTCAAAGTGTTGTTCTCAATAACATGTAACAATTTTCACCAAATAGAAAGTGTGAATGTTTTTGAGGCGATTCTCTTACTGTAACTTCGAAAGGCCCATGTGCGGTTAGCCTCCCCGCAGACATCCGTTGGGGTTCGTTTGTCATGCATTCATTTCTCCCCCACGGACGTCTGCTAAACACGGCCGACATGTACGTTCACCAATCACAGGCCGTTTACGGATTTTTGTAAAACGTAACCCGAGCCGCTTGTTAAGATTCGCACGATCAGTGAGGCTTTTGATTGGGTGTGGAAGAAATTTGTAATTAATACAGAGTTAAACAAGTATCAGAGAGAAGCTATCCTGCAAATTTTATTGCGAAGACCGATGAGTTCATAAATTTCCCGACGGGATTTCGCAAATCGCTTATCTATCAAGCTTTGCCGCTTGTTTGCGGCACAGTGCGTGGAACTACTGGCCATTATTGTTGTTGTTTTTTCACTCCTGGTAAATCTTATGAAAGATCAAGCTACAAAGCTGGAAAATATTGGTATTCCTCCTGTAACACTCAGTGATATTAGCGAAGACAATATAAGGGTTGTTGAGAGAGAAGGGCTTTCTCTGTTGTTTATGGAAGCCCCTTTTCCGAGCATGATTGCAAAAACTATACAGCTGACTACAGCTTTATTGTATAATTTCTGTGATTTTTTCAAAGCGTTTGAGTCGTCTCAGGTAGAAGATAGCTGTGCAAATAAATAATTCACTTGAAAAATACAAAGACACATCAATGCCCAGAGCACGTTTGATGAGCCTTGCGATGTCGACTGTGCTTTTTCGAAATACATGAACTTGGTCCTTTGCTAAATTACAGCTGCAAAGAAAACAAGAAATTCGCTTCTTACAACTTTCTCTGGAGTCTCATCCATGCATAGGCATGGAATAAATATTCCTCTAAAACAGTGAGAAATAATAATTATTCATAGGTACCATTTCACTTGTATCACAGCTTGTTATTGGCTGATCATGACACAATAACTAACCGCTAATTGGCTTATTCAAACAAACAAGAACGTAAATATCGGTTGTGCTTAGCAGATGTCCCTGGGGTAGAAATGAATGCGTGACGAACGAACTCCAAAGGGCGTCTGCGGGGAGGCTAATGTGTGGTATGCTTCCCAAAAGTATTGATAGAAAAAGGTGCATAATCTGAAAGCAGTACTGGGGGATTTGAGGTCTGAAGGAAACAAGCTACAATGTAGGCAAAAAGTGTTGAAATTTTGGCACTTTCCTACCCACAGGATACCCATGCTGCCAATTTTCCAGCACAGCAACCGCTCCTTTCACCCAACGCTTCCCCCCCCCCCAACACCAAAAAAAAAAAGGGTCTAGCTGGACTTCAACATTGTTTTTTTGGGGGGAAAGGGAAGGGTCTATATAATCAGGAGTGCTTTAAAGAGCTGTTTTTTTTTTAAATTGGACTTACAGCATGCATTAATTTTTTCATGACATTTTGTCCAAGATTGTAGCCTGTTTGAAGCTTGTCAAGTTGCTTCCTTGTCACCATCAAGACAGAAAAATGTGAAACTACCCAAATGTTGGTACAAGTTCAGCACCACATAAGAGTATAATCTTCCAGCTGTTACAGCTGAGCTTTCCAAGTTTACGCAAACATTTTTGGATGAAAAAGTGACTGAGGCACTGCATCTAAACTGCTTTTTCACTGAAATTTTCTAGTCAGATTAACAAGATTGTTTGCAATTTCTCTGGCCCATCGGAGTCGATCTCACGCTTTTAAGTATTGTTTAAGACCTTTTAAGATCTCTTTCTTGAATTAAGTTAGCTGTCAAAGTTGTCTTTGACTTTGGCAATCAAAGGTGACAATTTCTTAAGGGGTAAAGGAACATGGTTCCCCATGGGCAGTTGTCTGAGTGTTTTGGATTGAATCTATCCAAAACATTCGACACATTTTTAGAGCATGTCATTGTTAGAGCATCTGACTAGTGTACAGAGGGTCGTGGACTGGGGAGGGGGGACTCCCATATAAAAGTGACAGGGATGCTCATTGTCTCGCTAAGGGGTATAAATTGCAGATTTTGGTCTCACTTAAGGGGTCAGTATATTTGCCCATTCAGGTATCACTTGGGGCTGTGCATAAAGAAATTTACAAAAAATGCCATAACACCGTTCACACAGAAATCTCCTTTAGAGGTCAGTTTAAGCTTGAGCCACACCCACATTAGTCTCCCTTAGGGGTGTAATTTTAATTTTCTGATGAGCACCCCTGTCACTTTTATATGGGAGTCCCTCCACCCCAGTTCAGTTCCCATCGAGAACTCACAATTTTTCTCTGAGTTCTTCTCTCCAGCACATATCATTAATTTGTTCTATTGATTATTTTAAGTAATAGGCCATTTGCATAATGACATCAAATGATGTTCATTTTTCCCTTTATTTTTAAAGTTGGCAATTTCAGCGAGGTTGAAAACAACAAAAGCCTTAATTTACACAAGAAAGCAACACATTGAAGCATTGTGGGAGTAGTTGTAAAATTTTATTTATGTTATCTTGCTAGTGGCTTATTGAATTTTTTATTACTAATCACTGACTTCAGTAGTGATTTATTTCTAACAAGTTTTACTTCACGAAACAGATTGTGCAGGAATATGAGAGAGCAGTTATTTTCCGTCTTGGCCGACTACTCCCTGGAGGAGCAAAAGGACCAGGTATGCCATTTTAAGCTTATGATAATTTCTTAAGTTCTACAAAATACATTAATTACTAGAAACAGATCTTTTTTCTTTCCTTTTTATTGAGCTTACTGGCTCCATAAGTAGCTCGTGTCTGAGAATGAATGGAAGGTCATTTCTGTTGTCCTGTTCATTACGGAATCGCGCCTGTAGATACGCGTCGCTAGTAAATGCAAATTTTTCTGTCAATCAAATGTGTCCTATTATTCGTAGGTGGAAATTGGTAAAACATCGTTATTGTTTTGGAGACAATAGAAGAACAAAAGATAACAGAAAGATTAAGTTATGCGGTCTTAAAGCGTGTTGCGTGACTTAAATCAGTTGGAGCATTTCTCCTAGCTTTCCCGCATTAAAACGTTGGAATGAAAAGTCTGAAGCTTAGCTTTTAAAATGTTGATAGCCAAAATAAAAGGGGTGCCCCAAAAGGCAAGCATTTGGGAATTCAAAATCGATATTTTTGTCTCCAGCGAAATCCGGCGGATGAACAGTAATTTGCATGTAAGCGTAAGTGATGCGAAATAGATAATTGCCGCGGTTGTAAACACAACGTTTCCTCGAAGTTTTTTTCCTTTTGAAAGCGTAAATTCGCATGAAAGAGCTCAGCTTGCACAAAATAATATAAAATGAAACGAATCAAATCGAAACGTGGTAAAAAAAAAAGTCAGGATATTTCAGTTCGATGGAAAGTAAGTGATTGGGTAGGTGATTTGCATACTGATAAAAATAACGTCTAGAGCAGTTCAAAACCGTTCGGCTTCCTGAATTGTTTTCCTGGAATTCTACACATTCTGCTGGCCTAAATGGATAAAATATGTTATGAAGTCAAAATATTTATCAAGTTGCGCGTTTCATTTTTTTATCTATAGATTTTCTTAAGTTAAAGATCGTGGAAACAATTTTAGTCTTGAATCAAAAGCGACATTAATCATGAGCGCGCAAAAATGGGAATTTTCGACACGGATTCGTTTCGTAAAGTTTGAATGTGTAACCTTCGGACCAAAAGGTGCCAAGTTCAATACCTGCTATCGCCCTTTTTTGCAAGAATTTAATAGATTCTTTTTCTTCTTCTTTTTATAAGACCAACAATTTTATGTTATAAAAGCACATTAATCATTTTGAAAATAATTCTATTCAAAAGAAATTTAGCAAAAAGGTGTGAATGCAAGCCCTAGGATTTCAAATCCCATGGATAACAATTTTTCAGTTCCGTGCCCAGAGATCAGGGGAAACCATCTGTAACAATTTTTTGGTTCCTTGAAAATTCATTGGCACACATTTTTATTTCTTTTAATGTACAGAAACATGTTGTTAAACATACTTTAAAATTAAAGAACATCAGTGTGTACTATTATTAATTTACAAAAAACTTCAATGTTTATTAAAATGTCAGAAGAAGGTCAATTTAAGTGTTAAATGTGTGTGTGCACTGAAATGTCAAAAACTCCAGACTCCTCCTCGTTCCAACTACTCACTTGAAATGTTTGCTACAGATCTCGTCATTTGACTTTAAGAGATTCAGGCCTCATCATCAGTTGCAATGGTGAAATTGTCACTAAAGGACTAAACTGTTGGAGTAATATTTTTTTCTTGGCACTGGAAGCCATAACAATTGCTGTTTTTAACAGTAAAACATCTTTCATGCGTGAGTCATCAGTAATGTGCAGTGCATGGTGGTGGACAATAGAAAATTGGTAACTTTTTTTAAAATTTCGTATATACGCAAGCTCTACTAGTTGAGAATCCGAGTGGAAAAATACTTTATTTGTGTATTTTAATCCCTCCTATTAGTGTCAATATATATTAGGATATGTCACTGGGAAACTACTTTTTGGTTCCGTTATTTGAACTTAAGATCACGGTAACAACACTGTACTGGAAACGATCGTTATCGTGAAATCCTTGGGCTTGTAATAACCCTTAAACTCTAATATCAAAGTTGTTGCCCCTAAACATTTCCTACACAAGTAGTGGGAAGATGTTATACATTCACGAATGTGTACTTAATTATATTCTTTTGCTGAACATTTAAGGGGGTTTTAAAAAGATTGAATAGGATATTATGCACAGTTATTTTAAAAACATTAGCTGTACATGTTTAGCTTATCTTTCAAAATTAATATCATATTAAGGAAAACGTGCTCCGTTTTTACTTACGATATTTCTTAAATTGGATTAGCCAGATAATTTCTTTGCAAATATTTCCATCCATTCATATTTTGCTTAATGTGTTGTTTGAGTTTTAGTATTAACGAATATTTTTGAATGGCTGGTTGTAGTATTTCGTATAAATTTGAAAATCACACTGTGGGAAAATATATGCAAACACGAAACTGTTGCTTTTAATATGTAAACCTTCAATTTAAATGGTAAATAAAGGATGATGGTACATTTTAAGCTTGGTGAAGAAATGACAAATGATGTTATCAACATGTCATGAGCATGGGACAAGGAAAAAAGCTGAGTTTCCGACAGGAATTGAACCTATGACCTTCTGTACACCAGTCGGATGCTCTAAGCACTGAGCTACAAAGGACCCTTCGTGAGCTGGGCCATACACAAGGTTCATGTATGACATGCGTCTTGCGTGCTGCTAGGATCAGCAGTGTTGAAACTGGAGAAAGGGTCTGTTTCAATCTACACTGAGATGGAGAACTTCTTATTCAGCAAAAAGATACTTTAGTACGAAAAAAACTTTTAATGTATGAAATAAAATCCTTGTCAATCCCACTGTCAGTTTTTTTAACATCTTCGCTTGTCAGGTTATTTAATTGTGACTTCCACTTTGAACATTTCTGAGCAAAATTAAATATTTGGAATGTTTTTATTTCTCAGGATTGTTTTTCATCCTGCCCTGTATTGACTCATACCAGAAGGTGGATCTCAGGACAGTGTCCTTTGATGTCCCACCTCAGGAGGTATGTGGATAATTAACTGGCTGTTTCACTTAAAATGAGACTATACAACATCTTTTTTTTGTAAACCATATTTTCTTTTGTTGTTAAGAAAACAAAGTAACAAAAACCACATTCCAAAACATAGCTCTACCCTTTTTTTATCAGCATTAAGCTGCCCTTGTCAGGAACAAGTGTAATTTTTGTACTGGCGCTTTGTTACTATTATTATTATTTTTAATTTTGTTTTTTTATTGTTTACATCTAAAGAGCAGTTAGGGTTCCTTTCACTTTTGTTAGATCTTGATTTAGCCAAGAGACAATTTTTGTGGCCTTATAAAGTTGATAATGATGTATTGTTTGATAGTAGGGTGTCAGGCAGTACAAAGACTTGAAGCCCAAAGAAAATATGTAGAAAAATTTTTGTACACATGAAGAATTGTAACAAGAATAATCTTGAAATATTTATAAATAGTGTGTAAGAAGTTTTCATGAAGAAACTGTGTTTTGATGGCCGTAAGTTTATATATTAATGTTTTATTATCTGATGATACAATCACTGAGTTGGTGGTCATCAAGGGTATCATAACATAGCTAGAATATTCGCCTAATCGAATTCAATAGCTCGAGCGTGCTACATATTGCCATTGAGCACGCTGATGACGTTCATAAACTATACCTCGAGTTCTTTTGAGCTTAGCAGTTCTCCCAAGATGTCTCCCAAGTGCATGATCCCTAACTCAGTACATTTTCAGTATATTTTCAGTGTAATATATTTCAGCCTACTTGTAGTATGTTCATGGGGAGGGGGCATTCATTCAAGGGTCACTTGCTTAATTCGTATTTTGGTTTGACAGTGGTGTAATAGTGCATCAAAGTGGTGCAAGTCTGTCAGTAAAATAAATTGATTTTAACTTGCGTTGTCTTGCAATTTTCATCACTAACAGATTTTGACAAAAGACAGTGTGACTGTTGCAGTGGATGCTGTGGTATATTTCCGCATATCAGATGCAACTACATCTGTTACCAATGTGGAAAATGCTAATCGCTCCACTCGGCTGCTGGCACAGACCACCCTGCGCAATGTGCTTGGGACTAAGAACCTGAGTGAGATCTTAGCTGATCGGGAAGTAATCAGTCATACCATGCAGGTAAGAACAGCCAAGGATTCAAAGAAGGAGCAAATCCTCTAAGCATGTTAACCCTCTATTTTTGTGACTGAGTGCTGCATTAATTTTAATATGATGGTGGTTAATTAAGGGGGCACCTTTTAAGGCTATGTGAAGAATTTTGGACTGCTTTCAAAAGAAAGTTCGTGATTTTAGGTGTTCCGTTCACACCAAAACCACCTTAACCTTTGCAGAAAAACACATGAAGGGTGGGTGGGACAGGTCAGGCAATGGTGGATGGCAAAAAAAAAAAACTGGAACTGTGAAACACCACATGACCTGGAGACCTCCTGCACACTTGAACCCATACTCTCGGCCACGTGTGAGAAAAACCTTTTCTGCTTCATTCTTTCCTCAGTCAGCAGAAAACTACACTTCTCACACACAACTGGGAGCCATGCCATTCCGACCATGCAGGTCACACAATGGCAGATAGCAGTTCAAATATACTCACTTAGTGAGCTCTGAAACACCACATGACCTGAAGACTCCCTGCACACTCGAACCCATACTTCAAGTTGTGCAGGAGAAAAACGTTTTTGGCTTCATTCATTCCTCAGCCCAAACGTGGGTTGTACATCAATCCCCCGAGGCCTTTATTCTACAAAACATCCTTTTTCTCTTGTGAAAACAGCCTCATAAATTATTTTGTCCATTCAATGCAAAAAAATGGTCCTTTGACGGGGGACACCATTGGGATTGGGAGTGACTTCTGACCCTGAAGGCTCAAATTCAAGATGGCGGAAATGAAAATACACTCAATCGTATTAAATATCTCCTGACTGTTAACACATTCATCAAAAGATATCCTTATTTTAATGTTCTGTACCAGTTTGGGACATTAATGTAAAGTTAATGTAGGCTGCATCTGTTGAACTGTGGTAGGGAGAAAACTTCTATTTTTTTAGAATTTTCATTCCAGAATTTCCAGGAATCATAATGATTCCCTCTGTAACCAGCTGTACTGAAGTGCAGAAGTAGAGTCATTTGAAATATTTTGGCGTAACATAAGCCAAATTGGGCATATTTGTGAACCCTGCCAGTAATTCCCAAAAAAAGGGGAAAAAGGGAAAATCTGAATGGCAGGGGGGTTTACGATTATAGGATTCAGAGGGCACGGGGATAGCACATTTCGGAAATTCTGAAGGCAAGGGGGTTGAAATATGGAAGCCGTCTGTGATATGGATTGGATGCAGTAGAACCCTGACAACTCGAACTCGGATAACTTAAACTCCCTGCTAACCCATAGTAAGTCCAATTTCCCTTGGATTTCACCCCACTTTCCAGTCATTTTTCCTTTGGTTAACTCAAACTTGGATAACTCAAATTCCCTGCTAACTCGAGTGAAATTTCCTTTCCCTTGATCAAAAAGTCACTAAAATTTACTCCGATAACTCAAATTCTGGTTCTCAGGGGTATCAATAAGCACCGACAGCTGACCAAACACGTTGACTACTTTACTCATACAAAGAATTGGCTACTTTTTTCTAGAAAGAAGAAGCAACTAGTTTAAATAACGTTGTAAAAAAAAACATATCATAAAATCTGCAATAAAACGTTCAGTCAATTTTTTACAAGTTTCTTTATAGGTTTACGCAGAATTTTTTTATGTGCAAAAGTACTAATATAATTTTATTGTGTGACTGTGTGATAAAAGCTACATGTTCTTGAATGAAAAACACACTCTTTTGTCCTTAATTTAGTCTCCAGAACACTGAAAATCGCGTTTAGGGCCTTGAAATTTCAAAATTTTCTGTGGAAACATGCCTCCAGACCCCCTCTCCCCTCCCCCCTTCCCCCTTGATACAGTCAGTTACTCTATTCAAACCTGCTGGCTTCTTCAATTTTTATTGAAACCCCTGGGTTCTTTTAACTCCCCTCGGATGCCATCTCTTCTTGTTGAGGTAAAAAACACTAGAACTAACAAAGGTCAGCACTAAAGCAATTTGATTTTAATTGGTGAAACTAATAGATCACGTTTCATCATAAACGATGCCTAACCATGTTTCAGTTTCCGATGAAATAATTTAATAAAATAATTTGCTCTGCAACATGCACTGAAGTACTGAAAAATCAGAACTATCAACTGTTAACGTGGCAAATTGAATTTTGCAATCGACCCCAACAACTCAAACCCTCGCTAACTCAAACTGTTTTTTGTTTCCCTTCAGAGTTTGAGTTACCGGGGTTCTACTGTATTTTCTGGAGTTACCCAATAGACTTCAAGGCAAAGAAATCTCACATGCTCTTTCCTCACTATTAAACTTAAAATTTCTTTTCATACTCCCAATACATTTTACTTTTATGTTAATTGGTTTATTGTAGTCATCACTGGATGAAGCCACTGATCCTTGGGGTGTGAAGGTGGAGCGTGTGGAAGTGTGAGTTGACATGTTTTTTACGTATGTGTCCTTTAAGGTTTTCAATCGGTGATCAATTTATTTAACCCTTTTAAGTCCCAATAGTGACCAACATCAAGTTTCTCCCAACAATATCCATATGTTGCCAAGAGAAATGGTTATGAGAGTTAATAAAATGACCAGTAAAGAGGAAATGCTTTGATCTGTTATCAAGCTCTCTCAACTAATTCTTTAAAGAAATGTATGAAGATCAATATGGAGAATTTATATGTGGATATTGGGGCTTAAAGGGTTAATACTGGTAGGTATTTATCAATGATTGCCCGTCACCACTATTTTTAGCTACTGTAGATGATCAGTCTAAATTCTGTCAGTGAGAAGCAAGCCACACCGCAGGGAGTTATAAGTGGAGAATACCAGTTTTTATTGTTGTATTGTACACTAATATGTAATGGCTGCTAACAATAAAATTGTTATCCATTTTCTGTTGTTGTACAGGAAGGATGTTCGTCTTCCTCAACAGCTGCAGCGAGCCATGGCAGCTGAAGCAGAAGCATCCCGGGAGGCTCGTGCAAAGGTAGTTATTATATATTTCTCTTAGATTCATTGTCAGAATCTGGCAATGCTCTTTAAAAAGTGATTATAGGTGAAGGTCTCCTGACAGACAATCAGATCAGCTTACAGCTCTACGTACAGCTGCTGCCATGACAAAAGCCCATATTGAATTCTCATACAAACTCTTCATTTTGCTTTAGGCTCTTTTTATCATGGTTGGTCAACTGTACTACTTCTTATTCTGACTGAGTTCAGACAGGATACACATGCAAGCAAATTATTATTGATCTTTTGCATCTGAAACAGAAGGCCATGAAGTGCTTGACCTATAAACAGTGTTTTGGCCAGTTCTGGCTCTTTAAAGCCAGAAAGCAGCTGGACCATCTTCAAAAGGGATTTTTTGGAAAAGATTCTTTGGGGCAAATGGTTTTAACACTGTCTAACCCTTGAATCTTACTATTATATTTTAGGTCATTGCTGCCGAGGGAGAGATGAATGCATCTCGTGCCCTGAAGGAAGCCGCTGACATTATTTCAGAGTCGCCTTCTGCCCTTCAGCTGCGATACTTGCAGACGTTGACTACAATCTCAGCTGAGAAGAATTCCACTGTCCTGTTCCCTCTTCCTGTTGACTTTCTGAGCAGGTTTCTGCCAGACAAAAAGGGCTGAAGTCCTGGAAAACTTACAGCCAAACTGACACCCTTTATTATACACATGCTTCAGTAGACCATTTAATTTGTAGGTTTTGTCCGCCGAATATCTTTGTTCAATATTATTGCTACTATTATAAACAGGAAATATTACTGTGAAAGAAAATTTTGATTCCTTGATATACTGCTCTAGGATTAAACTCCTTTCCATAAGAAGCATCATGGTACCTTTGTCATTAATAATTAATGACAAAGTTACAATAATTTATCAGTCAGTGATAAATTATTTTAACTACCAACACAGTAAGCTTTTGTGATATTATGGTCGCATTTCGCTTAAATATGTACTCGAGCTGCTGGAATATCATCTCCATAGTTCCTGTCTAGGGACAGGGCCATGCTCTGTTTCTCTGTTACCATTTTTATCCCTTTCTTGAGGGTGTGGGAATGACCAAAACTGTGGATATTAATTTCAATTTCATAGACATTTTGGCATGTTTCTTTTACAACAGTTCTAGGAATGATGTAAGTAGTAATATTAAGGCATTGCCTGCTTGTGATAGCACCAACAGTTTTTTTGTCTCAAGAAATTTTTTCAGTTTAGTTATGTATCCTATTAGGGACATTTTTATTTTCAGTGGTCTGTTAAACTTGAACCCTCCACGCAGACACCTTCATAGATGAGCTGTAGCCAAAGGGTTTTCGTATCGAAGTCTATGCACTTGACTTGCGTTTCCAGATATACTCTGGATAACAAAACCCAGGTATACTGTACTGTGTGTACTTTCCTTATTTACTCTTGATAACAATAGCCAGATGTGCTAGTTGTTTTTAGTTGAGCTGGCACATAAGAAAATTGGGTGCAAGTTAGATCTGCATTTACAAGGGAGGCAATCTTGGCCTTCTGATCTTACTTGCACATTTTATTTCCTATGCTTGTCAGACGACTTGTAAACCAGCATTGTAGAGGATAATAAGCAAGTGCTGCTGGGTATCTTGTTTAGACATCCTATTTTTTCTTTAAAATGTCAGATTACCACCCTGTTCCAGGAATTCATATAGTGGAGATTGGCAGAAACTGCGGAGAGAAAAGAAAGCGAAAGAGAGGGAGAGGGAGAAAAGAGAGAACGCCTTCTCTTCTTTTCCTCCCTCCTGTTTATCTTGCTCACGTCTCTTTTCCCTTCTGTCTGTATGAACACCTGGAACAATTACAGTGGAACCTTGATATAACGAAACCTTGGTGTAGCGAACAAATTTTGCCTGTCCCTTGGCCCTTCATTATATCGAGGTTCCACTGTACAAGTTACTCTCCTTGCTAAAGGAAATCTAATTTTAGGTTAGAATTTCTAATTTTCCATTTTATAATAATAATTTTGTCATTTAATGTTGCCTTATAAGTAGAGAAAGATGTCCATATTGTATTTACATGCACTGCATTTGTAGCTATTAAAATACAGCAAAATTGAAGCATAGAAAAGATTGTTGTAGTAATGGAATTACGTCATGAAGATGTCATGTATTATCCTGCTTGCAGAAAAAAAGGACACTGACAGACGCTGACCTTCACAAGACTTTTACCCTCTCCATTTTTGTCTCTTTTAAAGAGCTGAAAATAGAACGTAAAGGCAATCAGGTGCTGTCATTCCCTAAGGATTGTGCTGCTGGTCAGGAGGCCTTTGGGCAGCTGCTGATTGACAATGAGCGGGAAGGGGTTTAGTTTTTCGTGGGAGGTACAGAATACCACATTGGATGAAAAGTGTCTCAACTTTTTTTTTGCTGATTGCGGCTTCTAGTAGCATTGAAAGCAGTTGTGGCAGCTTATATTAAGTTAAAAGTAGTAGGTACACTGCCAGCGTGTGAACTCAGGTGTGGCTTAATAAAGGTCATCTCAAACGGAAAAAGGTAAGTTCAATCGTTTTCCTTAACCGTTTTCCTCAACCTCTAAGGTAAGGTCACCAGATCTCAAAAGCGCAACTCTATATGTACGAGATTGTTAAGCAAGGAATAATCTTGAACGCATCATGTCCTGTTGAACCAATTTTACCCGAGTGAAAAACAACGCAAGACTTTCCTTAGCTTATTTCTATTCTCTTAAGGCAATAAGGTTAACTGCTCAAAGTAGTCTACCGAAAGGTAGCCACCAAAACCTACTAACCGCTAGCTTCGGCAGTCGTGTGATTTTGCGCGCACACGCACAAGTCGTTCCTAAGAGACGCATAAGCTTGCTGATCGGAAAATTCCTAAGCGCAAAATCTGTGCATTTCTAAATATACTGTGGCCCTGTCATACTCACTTGTCATAACTCTTGCGTGCTAAACACTATGATAACTGTCTTTTAAGGACAGACCAAAGGTAACCAGTATTTGGTTACTGTGATGCCCAGCAGTTGATCTACTTGAGCGCATACAGGCCCTATAGACAGTCTGTCATGAATTACAGATTTCCCCACAAAATGACGTCCGAGGAATTCCATACTGATGACGTGTCACTATCCAGGTCTGGGCAGTGCTTCTAACTGGTTGAAAATTTGCCTCAGCCAAACAAAAGCACTACACAGATAACTTGGGTAGTGACACCCTCAAATTTCCCTCCCAATGACGCGTTTCTTGTTGTTTCCCTCCTCTGGGATTTTGGTGACCAGCTGATGGAGTGGTGGTGCTGTCTACGCTAAGCCGGGAATGAACTGTCGATAATACGATGCCAACTCCAACAAGGCCATCAGAGCACCTGGGGAAGGCACTGCTGCTTCTGTGTTTGCTGGGTCAGTTGCCACGCCCTCAGATGACACCACATAACCAAGGTACCTGCCTTAGCTTTGGAATAACTGACACCTCTCTTCTTGTATATTGAACCCATGGTCCCTCATCTTCTGAAAGACTCGCTCAAGCGAGGTGGTCTGCGATGCTGTTACTGCAAAAACGAAGTTGTCCTAGTACACCAAAAGAACATACAACTGGTCTTCACAGGAGATTGTCTGCATCAGCCTCTGGAAGGTGGCAGTCGCTTTGCTTAACCCGAACGGCATCCAGTTGTACTCAGGTGGGCCCATTGGGATGGGAACGCTGTCTTGTGTCTTGGCGTACCTGTACTTGGTTGTATGCTGACGTCAGGTCAATGGCTGAGAAATACTGTGCCCTAACAAGCGCATCAAGAGACCTATGTATCCTACGCAAGAGATAGCTAGACATCTAAGCATAAATGTACCAGGATTAGTGGTCGTCCAAGCATGATAAGGTTTCATGAAGAATTTCCAGGCAATTTATTCGAAGCTCGAATTCAACAGCAATACAAAGCAAATAAAGCATAACAAAATGAAATGAAATGAAATAAAAGAGCTCAACTTTTATATGACACCTTTCTAGAAGCAAGTTCACTCGTGAGAAAGGCGGTGTTTTTAAGTCAATGACACAGGCGGCTAAGGAGAAATAATCTGAGTGCTTCCAACAGGAGTTGAACCTATGACCCTAATTCTGCTTACTAGTCCAGATGCTTCTACCACTGAACCGCAGGGGACTCGTGTGAGCTAAGACCACTAGACTGGATTCATGTGACAAACATCTTGTATACTGACTGAAAAACATATTTCTCATATATTCACCAGGCTTAAAAATCACCATTTCATTTCTATCAGTGCCCATAAGCACACATCAACATTTCAGTGCTAGCAGTATGAATGCATGAGAAAGATATTCTTTCAGTCAGAACTCACGTGAACCTAGTTAAAGGGACACTTTTTGTTACCCTTCTGTAGAACGGGATCCTTTCCACCAGCTGTCATCCCTTTTAACTCTTGAACTGAGAATCTATGGTTTCTTTAACAGCAGGGTTGATACTATACTTAGAATGTACCTTCACTGATTTGGTCTGGACTCGTAATGAATTTCATCCACCCGGTACGGTGTGATACAAACGTTTTGTAGTTTCGACTATGTCTATGAATCCAAAAACCGACTTTTGCACTTTTCTCTCTACACGGCACATTTGAAAACCTTGTTGAATTTGCCCGGTACAAATGAATATATTATTATTATTATTATTATTATTATTATTATTATTATTATTATTATTATTATTATTATTATTATTATTATTATTATTTCGTGGCTTTGCTCATGAACACCTCGGATGCTCTCCATATTGGCTTCAATGTTAGTCTGAGACTTGTCATTGATGCCATTAATTCTTACAAACATCTGGCTCCTTACTCTGATTTTAAACCCTGGAAATCTGTGTGGTGGATAAAAGAGGAGGGAGGCTGATGGCACATTTGACATGCGTCGCCTAAGAGGGTAAACAGTTACTTTCTTAATCTGACAAGGATATTTAACATGTCTGTCTGCGTTTTTGGTCCAGATAATCCTTCGCTATTGTTTAAAAACTCTTTCCCTGAAATTCAGCGGATACATGATGGACGAAGCTTGTTACACTTAACTTTTTCACTGCTCGTCTCAGGTCGCGCAAAGGAAAAATGGGGAAGCAACCATTTTGAGTTGGGTGTGGGTTCATTTGGTGACACTTGCACGAAGAATGTACTTCTTCTCCAGTGATTATTCGATGATCTTCTGATAAGCCTGATATTGCTGGGTCCTTTCCTAGTGTTTGGAAGACTGGGTCGGCCTTTCCCCCCCGGAACAGCTACCAAATAACGATCATTTTCTAACCTCATGGGCTCGCTCAAGTTAAGCCAAGAAGCTGGTACATCGGGGGCAATTAACTGGTCAAAGAGGCGTGATACCCATTATCTCTTTGATTTTGTGTCAAGATTTTCTGGTTTTCTACAATCATTAGAGATTAACAATTACTACTCAATCTTGGTAGTAGGAGATTTTAATTTCCCAAATATTCAGTGGGTGGAAGGTTCGGGTTTCGCGTACTCGTCTTCTGGTGAGGAAGCTAGTTTTACAAGCCTTCTTATGGATTATTATTTATTCTTGTTAGTGGAGCACCCCACCAGAGGCAATAACATCTTAGAGCTAGTAATAACAAATACTCCAACTTTCATTACAGCGGGACCAATGACTGGCCCCCAGTGGAGTGACACTGGTGTTCCTTCAGATCATTTCCCTGTCATTTTTTATTTATCTGTGGATGTGCGGCTAAAGGAAAACGTACGTTCCAAGCGTTATGATTTCAAACATACAAATTTCGAGTCCTTGAAGCAAACATTGTTGTTAATCCCACTGAGTAATGGCATTGATAACCTAAATTCACAAGAGGATTTTGATTCCCTTTGGGATTCTTGGAACGATTTTGTTTTTGCTGCCTTAAACACCTTTGTGCCAAAGGTGAAATGCAAACAAACAAACCGTCCTCCCTGGATTACAAGTGAGCTAGCCAAGGCTATGAACAAGAAGAAGACAATGTGGAAGCGTATCAAAAACTCTAGAACTGCTTCTAATATGGAAAAATTTCGGAAATTAAGGCAACACCTCAAGAATTGGATACGTTTAGAAAGAAGAAATTATGTAAAGAATATCGCAGATGAAATTCACTCAAATTCCAAACGGTTTTGGTCTTACTTTGCTTTTAAGAACAAGGCAAAGCCGATTCCAGATAAGTTAACTTACAATAATACTACTTTTTCGGATGATCGTGCACGAGCCGACGCTTTCAATGACTTTTTTAAATCTGTTTACAAGGATCATTCAAGGTGTCAAGTAACTTTTGACGAGCCTGTTATTACTGACAACAGTTTATGCCGCGTTCAAGTCTCGGTTGAAGAAATATCAAAGATCCTTTCCTCTTTGGATGTGCACAAAGCAATTGGGCCTGACAAGTTGCCCACAATTGTGTTAAAGGAATGTGCAGAGTCTCTTGCTCCCTCTGTAACAGCTGTAGTGAACTTTGGCTTAAGAACGGGTCTTCAGCTAACTTAATGGAAGAAAGCAAATGTCCCACCCATTCACAAAAAGGGCAAAAAAGATCTGGTTGAAAATTATCGCCCCGTATCTTTGCTTCCCGTTATTTCTAAAGTTCAAGAGAGGTGTTTGGTCACCCGTCTGGTCCCACATGTCCAGGAGGTCCTGTACACCTATCAGCACGGGTTTCAAAAAGGGAAGTCATGTGTTACTCAACTTTTGGAAGTATTTCATGAGATTGGCTGTGCCCTTGATCGTGGATTCGAGTCTGACATCATATATTTGGACTTCGCTAAGGCGTTTGACAGTAGTCTACTATGTTGGAAATTAACCCCCTTTGGTGGATAGGTAAGGATAGTTTAGGGATAGGTAAATCATTGATATGGATAAGTGCCTAGTCAATGACGTCACCCATTGTTTTATCCTAGAGAAAAAAGTGCCTTCCTCCATACTAATTAAGTGTCTTCCTCCATATATAATGAAGTGGATAGGTTTACTAATGAGCGTCACTCTACTACAATAGGAACAATAGGCTTGCCCAGACTTGCCCGTGAAGTAACTTGAGCTCGGTTATCGGACAGTCTATTAAAAGGAAAATAGGAATAAGAGAAGCGA